ACCTATTTTTAATAGTTTGCTATTTATTTAATTTTTTTTTATTTACCCTTATTTTTAATACAATTAGGCTATAACATCATAGTTACCATGACAAAAAATAATAATTATCAAAATTTGACATGTCTGTTAAACAAGTTAAGAGCAAAACATGAATTTTAGTTTAATTTGTCGTATAAGTATAGATGGTAGAGATAATAGTTACATATTTTCATGAAAATGAATTAGTCAATGTGACTGATATACACGAACAGGCCAAGAAAAAAATATTTTTTAGTTCGATACTACATAATATTATATAGTACTTTGCTAAGTACTAGGAGAATAGATATAGATTATCTACAAAAACATTTTCAATGTGTCATGGGACGGTTTCACGGCAGTAGTATTATTGGCTAATATTGGCTATTCGCTTGGCTTCGAAATGAATTCTCAACGAGAATCGCTACGAGAAAAAAAACTTTATGTCGAAGAAAATTTCTATATCAGAAGACGTCAACAACTACGTTATCTAATATTATCCTAATCTATGGCTATTCAGGCAACGGCCCAGCTACGTCGAAACACCGGTTCCCATTAGAACACCGAAGTTAAGCGACGTAAGGTGATACTAGTGGATGAACGGGTGATCGGTTCGAAACTCTGTATCGTGCTGTTGTCCAATAAAGTCAAAAGTGTAAAATCTATTGGCACACACTGCTCATTCACGCCGATTCGAGGCCGGATAAAATCGGATATCTCGTGAGTAAGAGTTGATTTAGACACTTGCCAAGTCGGTAGGCCGTTGACCATGATATGGCCGAGGACCGCGGTTCGGATTCCGCGTAAAGAAAGTAGGCCATGTCCAGATTAGCTCTGGCAGCGCAAAAGAGAGATAACTGAAATATTTACTTTACTTTTACTTTCTATGGCTATTCGCCCCAAGGAAAAATCAGTGTGTCATCTTGCATAATATAGAAATACACCAAGAACTTCACGATTGTGGTTTTAGTTTATTTGAGCAAAGATAAGTAACATAAACTAATAATAACAATTGTAACTAATTACTAAACTATTTGTTAATGATTAATGATAAATATTTTTGTTTGGTCATGGCAACTATGACGTTCTAGCATAAATGAATTAAAAAAAAAGAGTAAAAATTGTAAATTTCAGAATAAGACGCAAACTATTAAAGATAGGTATACAATATACCTGTACCACCCTGTACCATCCAACTAAAATATGTTTACATAAATATTTTTCTCTCTCTCTCTCTCTCTCATCTCTATCTCTATAAAACTCTATCTATAAAACCAAATTTTAGTACCTAGTCCAACTTCAGAAACAATGACATCACTGACAATTTTTTACCACACTGAGAAATCTGACTTTCGTTTAAATAAATTCAAATATTACAAAAACTATATAACATTATATAAAAAAGTAATCAAATTTTACGCAGAACCTATAAATAAAATAAAAGATAGTGTATTGGCATTTAAAAAAAACATACAAGATCCGCTACACTTTTTTGAAGCTCCCTGTATACTCTACAATAATTTTAAGATGTGTATCTTAACCTTCCTGTATAACTTTTGTATTTAACGTTTTTTTTTTGTAAACCTGGAAACAAATGAAACAAAGCACTTTATCGTTGACTCACCCTGTACATGTATATGGTGTGTCGAAGTCTTATAAATTGTGCTATAATTTTATAAACAACTAAATTATACTGATTTTTATATTCACGTGATCAAACAATGTGATCAATTTCAAAAGCGACAGAATAAATATAATTGTATTTTTATATTCTTTCCAACTAAGAATGTTAATTAGTGGGTGTGGCATGGGAAAATTAATATGACATGAGTTATACCTGTAATGATACTTTCCATCTTGCCAATTGACAACTTCACAAGGATTTAATGCAAAGAACGTTAATTTACTGCAGTTTTTTTCTTAATTTTAAAAACTAATTTTCACATAGGTACATAAAACTATTGTAAATATTATTTAAGCATCTGGTTTAGCGTTTATTATATGTATATGTATTTTTATGAAAAATTACACATTCAATAATAATATTCAATACAAAGAATAATTCATTTTAATATATTTATTTATTAAAAACAAACATATATCATGCCTTTTGTGTAACAAATTTAAATTAAAATCCATTCTTTTAGACCAATGCAGATGAAGAGTAATAGTTTTTAATGAAAAATAAAAACATACCATTTATTTCAATTTTAGGGCTTTGTACTTCATTAATTAAAAATTATATTTATTTGTTCATTTATTAGTTTATAAGGTTCAAAAAAAGTGGCAAATAGTTAATTTGCATACATGTTATTATTCAAGTAAAATTATACTTTTGATAACCATAAAAATATTTTAGTTAGTTATACAAATTTTGGAATAAAAATTCCGAGTTCCTACGAATTAATGTTTCAAAGTTTTAGATACATTTAGTGTCCGACCGAAACTGTTTTTTGAGGTCGAAACCGAAACCGATTCTGCTTTGTTTTGTAGATACAGGGTGTTAAAGTCTTAATATTTTTTCGATTTATTATAATTTTCTTCAAAGTACTTTTAGCGTTTCGAAAAAAAATTTGAGGGTAAAAGTGGAACCAATTTTAAAGCTAAAAAAGTGTCGACATATTCACCAGGGACGTGCATATGGGTTGTCACTGGAATATTTTTCTAAAAAAAGCATGTATGCCACTGACTTTTTTTCTCTTGTTAGCGAAATAGTGTAAGCAATTTAATGCCGATTAAAAGTTGTCTCTTGATATTTTATCGATTTCGGCCTCCTTGGTGAGATAAACTCAATTTTATTAATTTGCCCTGATCAAGTCTAATAGCAACCTTTAAAAAATTTAATATTATTAACTTGCGAAAGTTTTAAATAAGTACTCTTTGATTCCTTATCAAAAAATATGAAGAAAAAGTTCCTATATATGAACATGGATATGGAAACGTATAATTTGAGAGTCACAGGATGTTAAAACTTTTTAAAATTAGTTTTTTTGTAATTATCTTAAATACTATTATTTTTTTAATTGAAATTGCTGTAGGTTGGACTGATAGTAATAATAACTAATGGTTAATAATAAATTATTTTAATTTAATTAAAGTATAAATTTAATTTATTTTAATTAAGTTTTAATTAAAGTCTATAAAAATAAATTAGATAAATAAATAATTTATTAATTTTATTTTTATTTTAATTTTATTAATTGTGATTAATAAAATTGCGTTTATCTCATCAAGGAGGTCGAATTCGACAAAATATCAAGATATAACTTTTAATTGGCGTTGATATCAAAAGAAAAAATGTCAGTGGAGCACATGTTTTTTACCCACGTCCCTAATGAATGATTGACACTTTTTTAGCATTAAAATATGTAGCACATAATATAGTAACTTTTACCCTCATCATTTCATTCGAATCACTAAGAGGAAGAAAATTATAATAAATCGAAACATTATTAAGACTCTGTAGTTACCATACCATACCGCCGTTCCTCGCTGACGAGTATTTGACACGCATCAGAAGATGGTCACGCAAGGCGTTTTCTTTCATGAGCTTTTCTGTGACTGAAAAGCCCGATACGTGATCTGTCTACCGCACTCCAGACATTCAAAAATCTCATTGCTTTGTTGCCTTTTTACTTTTTGGTTGTCGCTGTTAACTGACTTTACAATTCTTCTTCATTCCGTTCTATTGTGAGCTGCCCCTTCCCACTCATTCTGCTTGTTAATTCCTTTTAAGTTTTCGTGGAAAATATCCTTGAACCTTTTGAGTTATCCACCCGGCCTCCTCTTACCGTCTACAAGCTCACCGTAAAGCAGAGATTTTGGTATGCGGTTTTCTTGCATTCTGCTTACGTGACCAGCCCATCTTAAGCGGGACTTTGTAATCATGACTTCAATACTCTCGCAGTTAGCTTTTTCAAGGACCGATACGTTTGAGACATGATGGAACCATTTTATTCTTAAGAGTTGTCTAAGATGTCTCTATTGCAACTTGTTTAATGCGTTCATGTGTCGGCGGTACGGCACCCAGGTTTCGCTTCCATATAACATGGTGGGAATTATTATTGCTCGGTACACTGCAAGTTTCGTTTTTGTGCTCAAGTCATGATTGTAGAAAACCCTGTCTTTTAATTTCCAGAATGCTCTTGAGGCGCTGCTAATCCTGTGCTGAATTTCAGAGTCGATACTGGCCTTTTCCGAAATCAAACTGCCGAGGTAATTGAATTGCGCTACATATTCCAACAGCTCATCTCCGATTTTTATAGCATTGTTGTGATCTTCTGGGGGAGTGCACATGATTTTAGTTTTATCGATGTTCAGCTTAAGTCCCAAGGCCTCGTATGTCCATGTATATGTGTTCAACATTTCTTGCAATTGCTGTAACGTATTTGCAACTAGAGCACAGTCATCAGCGTATTGAAGTTCTGTGATGAATTTTGTACGTGTTTTTGCCTTGAGTCTTTTTATGTTGAACAGACCGCCGTCGTATCTGTAGCTAATGCCCAAACCTCTCTCCTGCAGTTTGCTGTCCACTATAATGGAGAGCGCTGCCATGAATATATTGAATAGGAGAGGCGCTAAGACACATCCCTGCCTAACACCTGTGTTTGTTAGGAAGGGATCGCTCAGTGATCCATGATATGACACTCTTGATTTGTTGTTGTTATGGACCAGTAGTATGGATATGTAGTTACAAACCAAAGCAGAATCGGACAGAAATAAATCTTATTTTTACGTGAGGAATCTCCCCACGAGAGATGGCGCATGTTTTTTGAAACACCCATTTTGTATATGAGCATATGGCTAAAAATAGTTTTTATAATTATTTCTTTTTCTAATAATCTAATGCTCATACTGACATTGTCTTGAGAATATGTGCCTCCAAAGAAAACAAAAAAAGTTTTTAACAATAATGCAACAATTATACAAACTTTAAAAATATATTAGATCCATTTCATAAAAGATAAATTAAACAATGTATTTTCAAAATGCAGATTTATTAATAAAAAGTATTAATAATAATATTTATCAAAAAGGATCTTCAACATAGGGCAAAAGTATTTATCAGTCCCCTTTATCGTTCTCTCTCATTTTTCTTCAGCAGTTATCTCTTTTTTTTCTATATAACTTTCATATCTGATTTAATATTTTCCTTCCTTATATGATCCATCATCGTACAGAGCCTCCGATGCGCTAGCAATATATTTTCCTTCGCCAAGACCCGATAAGGGTAAAGGAAGAGGCCCTATTGGTCCGGTTGCGATAGCACTAGGTACAGCAATGATTGCTGCATCTGGCCTGACAGCTGCTACAAAACCTGGACCTGCTAATGTATAGCTGGTAACGATTTTACCCGCAGGTCCATCTCCAATGATGACCTCTGGAGATGCGGGAAGAATTGCTGGGCCTTAAATAAAATAAATTATTAACTAACAATATCAATTTTTTATAATTTCCATAGTTTCATTGATGTGGAAATAACGGAATCCCAAGAATTACTATACCGGGTGCGTCTCAAAAGTGGGTCACCCCTATAATTTTTTTTTTCAGATAAAAAAAATTGGCGCCGGGAGGCACGTAGCGTATAGCCGCCCATAGTAAAATATGTTAATAAAAAGTTGATAGACAGTTCTTTTAGTTTCGAAGTAAAGGAATTTTTCCAATTTTTTTATCTTAAAAACTGCGACTTTGACTGATTTTGATGTTATTACAAATTTTGTTGTAAATATTATTCCTAATCTTAAATTGAAAACCGCGTTTCGCTAGCTACTGTAATTTTGGAGTTACGATTTTTTTAAATTTTTAACCCCCTCCCATAACCCCTTACCAACTCCACACCCCCACCAAAAACTAATGACCAGATTCTCGAGCGCCACAGTATTTTTGTGCCAAATTTGGTTAAAATCGGTTTAGATGTTTTTGAGCTATCGTGTTACAGACAGACGGACAGACACCATGAAAATATTTTGTATTTAGGTCATTTATGACCCAATAACTCATTTTGGGTGAAATTAATAAAACTTTTTTTTTGCCGATCTTAATAGCCTACCATACCTGTTGGTACGGTCGGCTAAAAACTAGTTTTTGTATATTAGTATATGACAAATTAGGATTGATTGACCTATTCAATTGTTTTCGGACTTTCTGTTTCACCGGAAATGACTACAACTTTTGTTTTTTAAATGACCCTCAGTATTTTTTTACTTTATTCGATAGAAAATGACACTCTGAATAGAATGACATATCATATGTCAACTTTTGACATTTTCGCTTAAAACAAAATTGTATCTTAAATTTCAATCTAGGGTGCCATGGCTGTGTTAACACTAATTTTTAATTAAGGAGCCTTGGAAAAATAGATTTGATCGTCTAATGTTTTTAGTGTCTTCTCCCGGCCCATTAAAAGATGCCCATATCGGATTTTTAATCATATCTCAATTTTTTCAAATGGAACGAGGGTGGCTCATTAACATATTTGGAAAAATATTTTTTTTTACGAATACTTTGATACCCTTGGTATTTCGAGTCAAATTGTCGTTATGAACCGCATGTTATAATTTCAAATAAACCATATGCGAAAATGTCAAAAGTTGACATGTGATATGTCATTCTATTCAGAGTGTCGTTTTCTATCGAATAAAATAAAAAAATACCAAGGGTGCCATTTAAAAAATCAAAAGTTGTAGTCATTTCCGATTTAACTGGAAATGACTACAAACCGAAAAAAAAATGACCGAAAACAATTAAGTATATCAATCAATCCTAATTTATGTCATATACTAACATACCAAATCTCGTTGTTTTTATCTGAAAAAATAAAAAGGTTATAGGAGGTGAACCACTTTTCAGACGCACCCGGTATTGGTATTATTAATTAGGTGCATCGTTGTGTATTACACAATAAAATTGTATAATATACGATGTATATTTTATGGCATAGATATACGGAGTGTCAAAAAATAGAGTATCTCACTCCAGTGGGTGATTCTACAGACAAAAATACAAGCTAAAGTTTCTATGAACATATTATGTCCTAAAATGTTTCCAGAAGAAGTTACAGACCTTGAAAGAGTAAATAAAAATAATATAATTTGTTTATTTTCAAGGATATTGGCAAACAGGTTTTCTTGAAATTTGCTACTCTTACACACATTTTAATTCCAAAGGGAATGACGATAGTGCAAAATTCCGTAACAGCCGTGAATGAAAGGGTACATAACATTAAGGTTGAGAGCACTCCTGGTGGTACTGATTTTATCCTTATAGATACCAGTAATTTCAACAAACTATATAAAAACTAGGACTTTTTATGTAAAAAAGGTACTTTTCGTTTAGTTGGATACGATGAACGGTTTTCAAGATATTTGCGTTTAAAGGTTAGGATGCGTCGATTTTAGTATTAAAGTAATGATGAGATGTTAAGAAATTATAAAAAAGTAACCTTTAAAGGTGTAAACCGTTTACCTATCGAATCAAACAAAGTGTAAACCGTTTACCTATCGAATCAAACAAAGAGTACCTTTTTCACGTAAAAAAGTCCTAGCTTTCATATGTTGATAGTACCTAAAACTATCTATTAGAATAAAAAAGTACCACCAGTAATTCTCTACCTTAATGAAAAGTATCCTTTCAGAACTGTTACGGAATTTTACACATCACCATTCGCTTTGGCATTAAAATGTGGATCAGAGTACCAAATTTTAAGCAAAACAGTTTACCAATGTAGTTAAGACTAAACAAAATATTTTTTTTCCATACCAACTGTTAAAATTGCCTATATCTATCAAAAATAGTAGATAAAATAGTGCTTTAACCGCAAGGGTAGATTAAATGGTACTTTAACAGCGAGGATTGGTTAAAAACTTTATTTCTCCTCGCACGTTTTTTAATTGTTTCCATTTTTGAAAATTTTTGTATTCCTTTTTATAAGTTATTCGGGATTTAAATGGAAGTAAATTGAATTATTAAATTGGAAGTTTGGATATGGCGTTTGTCGCCTCAGCCTGAATATCTGTCGGTAAGTTACTTATTTCGTTTTGACCCATTTCTGGCTCCAATTCAATCAGCAATCGACACGAAAGAGAATTAAAAAATATTGACTCAAAACTGACAACTAAAGAGACAGCTTTATTTATTTGTCAAATTACATAGAAACCAACGCCAACCCAGCGCAATATGTTTTCTACTCGTAATAAATTCCTTGAAATAATAATTTCTGAATATTTTATAAAACGTAACTCGCTATGGAAAAAAATATTGTTTTACTCGTATACACGACAATAAAATTGCATTCGGTCGACGATAAAATACCATTTTATCTTTTTGTATAAAAAATAACTATTATTTACTCTTTCAAGGGCTATAACTTTTTCGGGAAGTATTTTAACATAAAATATGTCCATAAAAACTTTTTGTTTTATTTTTGTCTGTAATCTGTCTTTAATCACCCATTGAAGTTAGATACACTATTTTCTTGACACCCAGTATATTACAATTTAAAACGTAGCAAGCGGGTAACAAATGATATTTGACAATAAACTTCATAAATTTGGAATTAAATAACGTTCGGGTTTATTTTTGATTGATGCCCCCTAACGAACAAACGAAGCACTTTTGTATAGAGATAAATTATGTGCAATTAACTTATTTCGATTCAAAAAACACATAGTTGTTCTATGTTCACGGAATATTAGAACTCACTCTATGTTTTGTAGGTCTGCTTTGGAAAAAAAATTCTCGAAAAATATGCAATGTGGCTTTTTTTTACAATATCCTGAAGAATTGTAAAAAATTCTACCGTATTATCGAAAAAAAAGGCGTCCAGTTGGCTTGGAAATAACAGTCAATGACAGTCCCCATATAATTTTATTATACAGGGTGCCCCAGAAATATATGCAAATATTTTAACTGGTAGTATAGTTCAACCCCATAAACACGCCTTTGAGGTTTTTTCGCGAAAAAAAAAATATTGAAAATTCGAAATTTTTTGAAAAATGTTTTGGATTTTTAGTTTTTAGCTAAAAAACATAATTTCCTGATAATATGGCAACATAGGTATTAGATTAAATTTACAAGAAAGAAAATCCAGAAAAGGTCCAGCGGTTCTCAAAATTTTAGCAATTTTTTTTTTGGAAATTTTCAAAGTAAAATAACTCCGATATTTTGGACTCATTTGAAAAACGATAAAGAGAAAATATGTTTCTTTTATCGAAATCTACCACCCCTTATACTTGCACTTATTTATGAGACACCCTGTATAAAATGACAGCGACCTTCATTTCATAGCCATCGCTTACGCTGTTATTTTTCGATCATACGGTAGGACTATTTTACGAAAAAAAAATCAGTCGTCGGTGAAGTTGGAAAATATTTCTTTTAAAATGTATGTAGAGGTGAGGGTAGTTTTTACCCTTCCTGTACTTTTAGTTTTCTTTTTGTGAACGTCAAATGTTAAAGCGCTTAGCAAAACATAGGCACTCCAAATCTCATACAAATCGGAATAACTGTTAATATATCTTAAAAAATGTGTTTATTTTTTATGTTTGATACTCTCTAACGGGAAAACTAATCAGTTTTATATAGAAGTAAGTTGTGTCCAATGTACTTTTTTTTGCTATATAAAGTTCAGCAGTTTTTTAAATTAAAATTATTTTTTTTAAATAGTTTTTGGATTTAAAGTTAGATGCTTTCTAACCGACAAACGAAGGACTTTTGTATACAGGTAAACTGTATCCAATAATTTATTATGTTTCCAAAAATTGATAGTAGCTCCTATATCCGCGGAATTTTGGGACACCATGTACACATTTGAATTTTTCCTCACATGTAATTAAGAGATACTCGAGACTGCTAATTAGTTACCCTGTATAGTATATTTAGGTGTTCCATTGGACATAACAATCTGTAAGTGTATAAATTATTAATTAATTTCATTTACATAATTCGATTAAGATGTAAAAATTCATTTGAAAATTATCTTATCAAATTGAAAAATGAAATACCGAGTTAATATTTAAACCAGTAAACAATATTTTAACACCAACCAACCTGCGGGTACTAATCCAGCAGGAACACTAGTGTCAGTTAGGACGGTACCACCAGGTGCTTTAGATTTTAAGGAACTACCATCAGGCCCATACAGAGTGGTTTTGCTTCCTGGTCCTTGTAGAACTTTAACAGATGGCAGCACACCACAATTGACTGCAATGATCAATCCACAGAAGAAAATCAAAACAACCTAAAATTATTTAAATTCAATATATAGACCTATATGTTTATCCTTTGAAAACTATTAACATAAAATTATTAATAATACACTATACTTTCAATTGCTCCGTGCTAATTAACATATTCTAATCCATATTTTACATGGAATGGTTAAAAAGTCATTAAGTACATATATAATTTTTTTATGCGTACCTTAGCTGCCATTGTTGCAATTCCAGCTGTGACCAATGTTTCACCGCACGGCTACTATGCAACAATAGTGCACTTTGTGTTTTATATTACGTTATAACCTTGCCGCCAAGCCCTAAAAACATATGTATATGTATCTATTTTATATGTAATAAATAATCTTTGATAAAGAAAATATATCTTTCATTTTTTTCTGTGTAATTTCTGCACCATTATTCTTGGTTTAGTACTGTTACTTGCATGACATAACACAACAGCATTTAATTCTTATAAACATACTTAAAAGGGTTGATTATTTTATAGAATAAAAAACAGTGGCGGCTCGTAGTTTTAAAGTTATATAAAGAAATGTTAAATGACATGATATCATAAAGCCGAGGACAGACCTGACGAACGTTACCATTCGTTCGCATTGCAGCCATTCGCACCATCGCTACCCCGTTCTCACCGGGTGGCGTGACACATTTGAACGGATTCTTTTCTTTCGATAACATTTCAACCATTCGCACTCTTTCCACTTCCTGCATTTTTACAGATACGTCCACAGTGCAACGTTCATCATTCGCGGCTCGCATTTTCCTTTGATCTATTAATTTTTACCGCCGAAAGAAGGAATGTACATCCACACCTGAGAAACATTTCCTCGCGAATGCGAACGAATGGTAACGAAGATCTGTCCTCGGCTTCAGGTTTAATATTTATACAGAAGCAATTAACAGACCATTATATTATGGTATCAAATGCATCTTAGATAATCTACATGACCCAATATACCGTATGATCGAAAAAAAACGGCGTCCGGTTGGCTGGGAAAGTACGATCGATGACATTTCCCATATAAAATGACAGGGACCTTCATTTCATATCCATCACTGACGCCGTTTTTTTTTTCTATAGGGTACTATATTCCACAAATTTTGGCATTTCGTTCGTTTTATCGCACAAAAATTTGGTCTTCATTTGATGACAAATCCAAGACCAGATATCTAAAAAAACTTAACATCAAACTTCGTCATAAGTCGGTCGGTAAGACGAAAATGCGAAGTGTTTATTACCTAACGACTTAATCCAGTGCCAGAACTTTATTTCATGTGCTTGGGCAAATACACGCTCTACCCTCTTTGTTCAGTACATGTTATTGTACATACAGAACACATTGACCCAAAGCCAACAGTGTATATGATTTTGTAAATACTGAATTTTTATGAATTTAGTTAATACAGAAACAAATAAACGTTATACAAAGTAAATAAGTGCAAATATTTTCACTGGTAGATCGGCTAGTAAATCTCGATAAAAGAAACATATTTTTTCTTTGCGGTTTTTCAAATACACACACCGGAATAATCTAGGGATATCATTTTATTAAAGTTAAAAATAAATGTTTTGAATAAACAACCACATATTTGTAGGCCGATTCTTTCTACTTCAATTGAAACGAAGTAGTCACACTAGTTATTTCTAAATTTGGGATATTTGCAGAAGTGTTTGTGCATTTTTTATCAAATGTATAAAAAGCACCTAGCATCAATTGTTCTAATTTAACCTGTACTGGCTATGTTTCTATGATAACTGGCCAGAATTCATTCAAATAACTCTGTTTAGTATTAAACGACATTATGGAGCGTAGACATCTTAACAGAGACGAAATGCTAAGGGCCATGGGTATGCTCGAAGCTGGAATGCGCCAAATCGACGTAGCTAGAGCATTAAATACAACGCAAAGTGTAATATCGCGATTAAGTGCACGCTACCGTGAAAGTGGTGATGTTGCTGGAAGGCACACAGGGCGACATCGCATTACTACCCCTCAGCAAGATCATTTTTTACAATTAAATGCTCGACGCCGACCGACTCTTACAGCACCAGAGCTTAGTTTAATTCTCCAGGAAACACATAATGTAATAAATTAAGTGAGGTCAACTTAAGAAGCAGACGCCCCTGGAGAGCTCAACCCTTAACGAGAGGAAATCGAGAGGTACGATATTTGTGGGCTCAAGATCATGTTCAGTGGTCGAATGAACAATGGGCCAATGTTCTCTTCACGGATGAGTCACGTTTTGGAATTCATCCGGATTCGAGAAGGCTTAGGGTATGGAGAGAACTGGGAAATCTTATTCGGTTGGATCATGTTTAGGAAGTGCACCCTTATCAAGGTGGAACAGTTATGGTCTGGGAAGGAGTCCAGTTAGGCCGAAAAACCGATCTCGTTTTTCTTGAAAGGTTTCTAAAAGTAATCACATATCGTGATTTAATTCTTGAGCCTGACATGTTACCATATGCCAATGATTTTATATGTAAGTGAGTTTATCAATGCTCATCAATTAAACATCTTACTCTGGCCGGCACAATCTCCTGACCTCAGCCCCATCGAGCACGTATGGGACGCGGTCCAAAGAAGAATTTTGAGAATGGGTATGCCTCGTGAAACTCGTAGGGATCTGGTTCGGGCCGTGAATGCAGCGTAGTAGGCTGTACCTCAAGAAGAGATCGACAACCTGATCAGGAGCATGGAGAGACGATGTAGGGCTGTAATGAACAGTAGAGGAGGCCATACCCTTTATTAAGTAAAAATGGTTTTATCTTTTTTTTTAATTCACAGTTTAGAATAAAAAAAAATCTGTGTATTTTTTGGAGTTCAATAAAAATCAAGGTAAATTTGAAAAATTCGGTAAATTTCGCATTTTTATTTCCAATACGTCCTGTAAACTATTTGTTTATTTTAATTTTATTATATCAGAAATGCAAATAATAAAATTACTGACGATGGCTGGATAAAATTCTAATATCCCTAGACTTATATTATTATATCCTTTATAAACCATACAACATCTGTATGAAACTTTTTCATATCTTCGACAACGACGATGTATACAGGGTGTTCCAGGTTGAGTGTGCATTAGAAGTTTTTAGAGAACTATAATATCTAGATCGGAGATTTTTTGTACATCATTGTTTCACAACTAGATCTATCGATTAAAAATATTTTCAATATGGCGGCACTTCGGGAAATACCGGAAGTTGACAGCAACTTTTTTATTTTAAATGGGTACCCCCATTTTTTATTACATAATTAAATTCTCTGTAAAATTTAATGAATTTTGATAATAAACACTCTATACCTAACATTAACCATTTTTGGGGAAAAAAATATTTAAAATTTTTGGACGAAAAAAAATGCCTGTCAAAAATATGTGTATAGCCTAAACGGCAAGTTTAGTTATTACCACAGCCACTGCACCATAAAGAGAAGACATGTGGCTATCTATTTCAAAGATGAAATTGTTCGAATGTCATATAATAACGACAGCAGCTGTCATGGAATTGAGCGATTAAAAAATTATAAATCATTTTTTTTTTCAAATGGAAACCCACTTTTTTTATTTCACTAGTGAAAAGGCTTTCGATACTTTTTGACTATACATGTTCCTATATCTAAAATAAATTGCTTTTAAGTTATTTAAGATTTAGTTTTAAAGCGTATATTTTTCTTGATTTTAACCAGTAGCCAATGGCTTTAAACGTCAAGTGACGTAAAGCAATAGATCTGGCTATGTCATATTGTGACACTTTGTTCAAAAAGCAGTATGTTATCGACCATCATTTCCAAGCCAAGTTTGCGCTGTTTTTTTTTCGATCATACGGTATTACTAATAATATCAACTATTAGATATCATTAAAGAGTGAAAATCCGAGATATATTTTTATAAATAACCTTTTTAAACTTTCAAAAAGACAGTATTTATGATATAGAAAATTCAAATAATTAGTTTTCTGACAGATGGAAATAAATTGTCTGACTGTTTGACACATGTCAAAGTAGATAAAACCAAGAAAAATACACGTTTTCAAACTAAATCTTAAATAACTTAAAAACGATTTATTTTGGGTATAGGAACATGCATACTCAAAAAGTAACGAATCGGAAAACATTTTCACTAGTGAAATAAAAAAAGTGGATTTCCCAAATATAAAAATGAAAAAAAATATTTATGATAATTTTTTAATAGCTCAATTCCATGCCAGTTACCGCCATTATTAAATGGCATTTGAACAATTTAATTTTTGAAACAGATAGCCATTTCTTCTCTTTATGTCACAGTAGTTGTGGTAATCACTAAATTTGACTTTTAGCCTATACAATTTTTTTTGCCAGGTAGTTTTTTTCGTCGAAAAAATTTTAAATATTTTTTTGTCAAAAACGGTTAATGCTAGGTATAGAATGTTTGACATCAATATTCATAGAATTTTACAGAAAATTTAAGTAAGTAATAAAAAATGGGTGCACCCATTTAAAATAAGAAATTTGTTATCAACTTCCGGTATTTCCGGAAGTGCCGCTATATCGAAAATAGTTTTAATCGATAGATCTCGGTGTAAAACAATGGATGTGCGAAAAATCTCCGATCTAGATGTTGTGGTTCTCTGGAAACTTCTAATGCACGCTCAGCCTGGGACACCTTGTATACTGTTATAACCCGTTAATAATAATTTACTTATTACCAATAAACCGATCGACAAATTATGAGCCCAAAAAAATCAAATCTATAAATAGGGGCATACAAACGTCAATCAGGATCAACATCTAGATCGACACGTATTTATACAGAGGAACCTGTTCTATAATGTCAAGAATTTATATGTCTTTTGGTGGATTTGCGGTCTTAAAACCAATTTAAAACGAATCAACCGTGAACTTGGCGACCAACAGATCCGATTTAAAAGTGAAAATCTTCCGCCAGTAAGGTTTAGATATCAAGAACAAGGCTCTGGGCTGGGACAATCTGCACGAAGCTGTGAATTATACTTATCCAATAGGAATATTGTGACATTAATGGTAATTTAATTATGATCTATCTTTACTTTTATACTCACTTGCTGTTAAACACCCTCTACACTATGCTCGATATGTTTCGCAAAATATTTCTGTAAATATTTCGTAAAAGATTTCGCGAAGCATTTCTCGAAATACTTCCAGAAGTAAACTCTAAAAATGCTTTTCTTTTGTTGCGGGGAATCTTGACGGAAACGTCTGAAACAGATCGAAATCGATCGAGACAAGCTGTGATTGGATGTTTATGTTTGTATTGTTATTAGACTTGTTTCGGGAAATGTTTCCAGAAACGTTTCGATCAGTT